TTGACCCCTTCGTCGATAATTGCCTGTACGAATGCAGGGTAGTCGGGGGGATTAAGAGCGGGGAGAAGGGTAATATTGACACCAAAGGGGCTCTTCGTTAGAGACCTAGTTTTTCTGATCTCTTGACGGAGGTGCTCGGGATCCGGTTGTGTCAGGGCATTTATAATACCCAGTCCTCCGGCATTACTCACCGCAGCAGCGAGTTCAGCGTAGGCGACCCATTGAAGCCCACCTTGCACGACGGGCACCCGGATCCCCAAAGCCCTAGTCAAAGAAGTGTCGAACGCCATTCTAGGGGTCAGAAGGAAATAGGGCAGCAAATCCAGTGGAAGCTGTTGCTTGGAGGAAGAGTAAATCAAGGAATGTTGATAGACATGAAAAATATAGAATATTCCTTTGTATATTAAGATGATAGATACCCTCCCTAAAAGGAATATAAACCAAGGCCGAGGTGAACAAGATTCCTCGGCTCGCGTATATCACTAATCGAACTATCACTAATCAAACTATCGTCGACTCCACCCTCGGACGGGGTCTTGGAGGTTACGGCGAGGTATCTTCAATATTGCTCATTTCTTAGCTAAAATCCAGTGAAATGGAACACTTTGCGAAACTCCATTCTTTTCTTCACAATCCACGACGACCTCATCAATCTCCATCTCAAAGCCAATCTCCGTGAGAAGTCTTCTCATTTCATCTCTACCCCAACCACTCCAATGCATTGCTCCTTCTGTACCGCCTAGCCAAGATTGATCAGAGGAGCTCGCAAATCCGTTCTCGGGGAAATTCGCGAGAAGTCGTCCTCCAGGTTTCAACCAATCAAAAATGCGCCGGAGAATCGTAGTTTGTTCGATGCGTGGCAGATGAAAAATAGAATACATGGCCATCACTGCATCGAAATGCTCCTGGCTGAATTCCAATCCCATCATGTCTCCTTGTATCAGGGTAACGGACTGAGGAAGCCGCTTGTTCGCCATCGCAATTTGGGTTTCGGATATGTCATTTGCAGTGACTTTGATGTATTCACGCGATGCCAGAAGTTCAGTACACGGTACCCCGGCGCCGCATCCTAACTCAAGGATGCTAATTTGGGAGTTTCCCTTTACCGGATCAAGGGATCGAAGCATGCGATCGAGATAGGAAAGGCGTATTTCATGTGAAGGTTGGGTCCAGTTTAGGTAGACTCCGGCAATCTCATCATAGGCTTTCTTTATGTCGTCCTTGATTTGATGGTTATTGGTGGTTTCGGACATTTTTATGGTAGAGTAGTTGAGTTGTGGATTTGCAGTGTGTTATAGTATCTTGTTAGAAAGAAAAACCATGAAGTGATATTCGCAGCTATTGTATGAGCTCCAATTAACAATGACTCATTCGGTGATCCCGGGGTCAGAGAATATGACTGGTTGGTGTTTTTAACCCCGATGAGGATTAGTGTAGTTACGAGGCTGGGGTAATTGGAACGTTGAATTATTCTTCTTCTGCTGATTCAAGTACAATTAGGAATGTATTACGGAGTATACTATGGCAGCTTTTACCTGTATTAACATGAATATGTCCAATATCAAAAGAAGCACCCTACTCTTTCGCGTATGGCCATTTCCAGTTCCGAATATGTTCAGGATCAATCCCGTTATCGAAAGCCTCAGACTTCCCCGCAAGCTGCTCATTGTACAGCTTCTCTCTCACGCCGGCTGCCGTGTTCCCGAGAGATTGAACCAAATCAATGGCAGCTATGGCGAGACTGTATCGATCGGTCTCATTGCGCATAGCCAGCTCAAATGGTGTGTCAATGTTGCCCTTTTCTTTGTACCCTCTCACATGCAGGTTATGTTGACCAGGTCGTTTGTACGTAAGTCGGTGGATGAGCCAGGGGTAGGAGTGGAAGTTGAATATGATGGGCTTGTCAGTGGTGAAGATAGACTTCCATCTCTTGTCGGACATTCCGTGGGGATGGTGGATGGCGGAAATCAGTCGGAATAGATCCACCACATTAACAAACCGAATTTTGAGCTGTGGGAGATACTCTCGTAGTAGCGCAGTTGCGGCTAGGGCTTCGTGTGTGGAAACATCACCACAGGATGCGATCACGATATCCGGCTCTGCGCCTTGGTCGTTGCTCGCCCAGTCCCAGATTCCGAGACCTTTAGTACAGTGCGCGACGGCTGCGTCCATGTCCAGGAACTGAATGTGCTCTTGTTTATCGGCAACGATCACATTCACGTAGTTGACACTGCGGAGACAGTGGTCCATCACGGATAGGAGAGTATTGCCGTCAGGAGGAAGATAGATGCGAACCACCTCGGGGCTTTTGTTAGCCACCACATCGAGGAATCCGGGGTCCTGGTGGGTGAAGCCATTGTGGTCTTGTCTCCAGACAGTGGCGGTGATGAGGATGTTTAGCGACGAGATTCGGGCTCTCCACTCCACTTCGAGGCACTTCTCGATCCACTTGCAATGTTGGTTCACCATAGAATCAATGACGTGGATGAAAGGCTCATAGCTGTTGAGCAGTCCATGTCGACCAGAAAGAATGTAGCCTTCGAGCCAGCCTTCACAGGTATGTTCACTGAGGATCTCCATCACGCGGCCATCGGGGGACAGATTGCCTCCGTCCTTATCCTCTTCGAAATAATCCCCCATCCAGACTTTCTTGCCTGCTTTATACACCTCCGAAAGCTTATTAGACTCAGTCTCATCGGGCCCAAAGAGCCGGAAGTTCTTCGTGTTCTGATCCACTATATCACGAAGGAATGTTGCCATATTGGTCATGCCTCCCTTAATTGTCAACCCTGGATTAATATCCTTGAACCCATATTCCCGGAAATCAGGAATATGAAGCGGCCGGCGTAGAAGACCTCCATTGCCAACGGGGTTAGCACTTATCCGTGAGTTACCCGTGGGCGCGAGTTCCTTCAGTTCCTGAATCAAGGTGCCATTCTCGTCGAAGAGCTCTTCTGGTTTGTAGGACCTCATCCATGTCTCCAACACCTTAAGATGAGAGGGGTTGGTGCGGACATCAGTGATGGGAATTTGATGCGCGCGCCAAAATCCCTCGAGGAGATGGCCATCTACCTCTCGCGGAGCCGACCATCCCTTGGGTGTGCGAAGAACGATCATTGGCCAACGGGGTCGGAACGGGGTCTTCGTCTCTCGGGCTTTCTTCTGGTGCTCTTTGATCTCGGTGACACATTGCTCGAGTGTAACCGCCATGGCCTGATGCATACTGTCGAAATCACTTCCCTCTACAAAGTATGGTTTCCATCCATAGCCAACGAGCAAAGACGAAAGTTCGTCGTGACTAATTCGCGCAAGCACCGTCGGGTTGTTGATTTTGTATCCGTTGAGATGGAGAACAGGAAGGACTGCTCCGTCGTTGATCGGATTCAGGAACTTCGTGCTATGCCAGCTGGTTGCAAGTGGACCGGTCTCGGATTCGCCGTCTCCAACCATGGTCAATGTAATAAGATCGGGGTTGTCAAAGACCGAGCCAAAGGCATGCGAGAGTGCATAGCCTAGCTCACCTCCCTCGTGAATACTACCGGGTGTCTCGGGTGTCGCATGGCTTCCAATGCCACCAGGAAAAGAGAATTGTTTGAAGAACTTCTTCATACCCTCCGTATCCTCGCCGTTATCCGGGTAGACCTCCGAGTAGACACCCTCAAGGTAAGATTGTGATATGATTCCAGGGGCGCCATGTCCGGGACCAGAAACGAAAAGCACATCGAGGTCATACTTCTTGATGAGACGATTCATGTGCATCCAAGTGAAAGATTGCCCGGCATCGGAACCCCAATGACCCAAGAGCCGGGCTTTGAGATGCTCCAGCTTAAGAGGTTCTGTGAGGAGTGGGTTGTCGCGAAGATAAAGCATCCCCAAACATAAGTACATGCTGGCACGAAACCAGGCATTCATCTTACGGATTGTCTCGGCATCGAGAGGCTTCCCTTCCACTGTTGAACGAGCTTCTCCATAGGCGGAGATGCTCTTTTCACTTGACTTTGACGTCATGTTGCGGTGCCTCCTGCTGAAACGGAGATGTTTCACTGTATGTACGGGAAACAATCCCACGGTGTGGTGACTCCGAGAATCCGAGAAAGATAGAAAGGTTGTATACACTGGAGTCAATGAGGAAAGAAAATGATTGTAAGTTAGGGAAGACACCGGAGATCTTTTCTCAATAATCTGGAGAATTATAACCATGGTCAATATGATGTTCATATATCAGCCCTGTCATGGGGTTACGTAGTTATGCTGTAAGCGTGGGGGAAGCAAATGTATGTAGCATAGTGTAAGTGTCATTGAGTGAAAGCCCGAAGCTTTATATAGTAATGTCTTGGCATTGAATGTCGACACCTAAGGCCACAATCCAGACTATTCTAATTATTGCTCGCATTGTGTACACCCTTTCACCATCCATAAGTAGGTAGTGAAAACTTGAGGGTTCATAGCGAGCTCGGCAGCTTAAAAGGGCCGGATTGGCTTTTCCTAGCGCATATAAAGAGACTCATAGGATTGAATAACTAGGTGAAACTGAAACCGACGTATCCGATGAACAAAGTGGTCATAGCAGGAATTAGTGTTAAGGTAGGTGGGCCTAATACCCTTACCCCACACCCGATCCACAACCCGGTAAGCCCTGGATCTGCCTGGTTACAGCTCACCAGATGTAGGTATATCTTAGGCGGTGTCATTCTGCCAGTTGTTTTTTGGCTCAACCTTTTTCGGTAGTATATATATGGCTTACGTAATATGGCTGAATCCATTGGACTCGGGTAATCTACCACGTTTATGTTCATGCTATTATTACGCAAAACCAAAGTAATATATTCATGTAGTATATGTTAAACCTAAAAGTCAAATGAGGTTTGCAATTCAAATAGCGAAATATAAGAGAATTTCAAAAAAATAAAATAAAATAAAAAAGGACGAAGACAAAAATATGGCAGCAGACAAATGTATAACGTACAAAAAAAAGCCTAACCACACCATTGTTTGGTAAATTAGATCAAACTATGCCCTGATGCCATATTTGGGTCAAGATGAGGAAAGTCCGAAACGGGCTGAAGCCCTGGAGTCCGGATAGGCGCGGCCAATTGTGCCGATGTCGCGGTAGGAAGAGTCCTCTGACCCTGTGGCATCCCAGGGTTGTAGTCAAAAACATGAAGATTCAGCGACTGATCCGGACAAGTTCCTGTGTAAAATCTGTGCCGCAGCCATGCCCCACCCAAACGGTCAAATCCGGGCCCCGTTGCTCGACCAGGCCAGATACTAGCTGGAATCGCGTCCCAGCGAGACGACATATAAGCCGAGTCATCTGTGCTCCACATGTTGATTTCCAATTGTCTAAATAGCGAGGGAACCCGCCTCCCATCTGCGGTATAAGGAGCTGCAACACCCAGGCATCGGGGCAAGGGGTATGTTTGTCCACCGTGTGCACCCAGACCCCGAAGAAGGTTGATGTCTTCTTCAAATACGGATAAAAGTGTACTGCCTGTGTCATCCATAAAATCGAATTCGAAGCTCGGTGGCCTGGGTTGTGGTTGATGATCTTTCCCATTTTTTCCGTTTTTTCCGTTTTTTCCGGCTTTTCCCTTGTCCCCTTGTTTTTCTGCAACTACCGGACCATGGGGAATTCGAAGGGTGAACCGTACCTAAAAGAATATGATGAGAAATCGCACACAGAAAAAGTGGCCAATATGGCAATTTAGAGGGGAATAGCTACCGTTGTGTAATTCTGAAGCGGATCCCCTTTGGATATCATCGAAAGCTTGCTCATGCCAGGCGCACGCCCGAGAAACTGAATATTTGGTTTTAGTATGATGCAATCAAAGGGTTCTTGACAAGACATACACCTTCAACCCAAAACCCTTCATGCCCCTGACATCTGTCATGAATGTAGGAGTATTCATCCCAGTGAAATGGTCTCGGCAGACAGAGCTGAACTCCAGCATGCCAGTAGGTGACGAGGTCCGGAGTATAATCCAATTCACCTGATCGATATTGCGCAATGAGAGCATTTACTGTATCAACCATTTTGTGTACGTCATTTTCCGCCACGAGCCAGTTCAAAATAAATTTGAGCTCATCTAGGCGCTGTACAACCGGCCAACTTAAGCCTGGCTCTGCAGCCATCAGTTCACTGAGTAGAAGGATGGAGATCAGTATCTACTAAAGGAATTTGAAGTTATAGGATGACTCACTCGCGTTCCACCTGCTTTTCCAAAAATTCTTTCATTTTAACCTGATAGACATGAGGCATGATGTTCAGTGAGATTCGTTCGAGACACCTGTCGATCTGAGCGTGGAAATCACTGCATAACAAGGGTCAATTACCAGGTATAAAATTAAATAGTGAATCCCGTGCGAAATAGCTAGAGCAGGTAGAACTTACTCTTTCATCAGATCAGGCTCCTCTGGGTTCCAGCCTTTAGGTGCATCTTCCCGCTCTGTGATGATATCTTTGACTCTTGTCCATTGCTGCTTTTTAGGCATTTGTATTTGTTGCCCACGCTTCTTTCTTTTCTTCGAATAATCAACGTTGAGATCAGCTGCGAGACGTTCCTCGTCCAAGATTTGCGGGATTTCCGTTCTTGTCTTCTTCTTTGGAGGTGGCCGCTCTGCCTCTCCATCTGAGTCATCTTTCTTCCGTTTTCCATTACCACCAGCTTTACCAGCAGGCGCAGGCTTTGCAGCCCGCGGAAAGGAACCCCTTGGCATATTTCAACCGAAAGGATAGTCACGTCTAAGCTGGTGCTTTCTCCGTATGATTAACAAATCAATAATCTTTTGCATGGATAAATAATAGATATAAGACTGGAATTACGAAGGTATTTATATTCCAAGTATCTTTTTTTTTTTTTTTTTTACACTCCGAATCCACATCGGATGGAGCAATCAACGATGCGATCTCAAAGAAAGCTTCAAGGTCATAGATGAGATAAAGCAAAGACGGCATAGTATGCTCTTGGATGAAGTTCGACGTTCGACGTTCGACGTTCGACATTCGACGTTCCACCCTATTTTTTTACTTTGTTCTTTGAAATTTTGAAACGCCTCATTCAATGAATCTGACCTCGGCGGTTCCTCCAATATGCTTCTGGTTTTTTTCTTTGATGGTTGATAGAAGCCTCGGTGCTTTGTTGGGCTGTCTGGCCATTTCTTCCTTTTATACTAGATGCAAACAGGCTTTAAAGCAGCGGATTTTGTGAAAGAAAATTTGTGGACTCCATTCACCCCAAAGGGTCAGAGCCTTGGGTTAATTTAAATCTACGAAAGACATCGGCTCGCCCCGTATACCTCAGACCCCTGTAACCATTAAGACGAGAGCCAAAAATAGATTGTGGCGCGATAGGATACACGTCTCCAGGTAAGAAAGCGTAGAAGGAAGAGCCATGGGGAGGAACAAAGAAGACTTGACTCTTGCCCTGTCTACTTTTTTTAACAGCTCACTCCTCACTCTCTTTACTCAGATCTCACAAATATTATCTAGTTAGTTAGTTAGCTACCTACGGTAGTTGTCTTTATTACGTAATTTATATTGACACGTTGTTGAGTCTCCTTTGCGCCTAGTATACAGTAACAAATTCCCATAACAATAAATATGTTAGATATGAAAAAAAAGGCGCGTGAATGAGAAAGTTCTGTTGCAATCAACCAAATCACTAATCATCCCAAATTATCTGTGAAATAGTCACAATACCATCCCGTACACATCTGTGTATATGAATACCCACATATTAAACCCCACGACTCCAATCTCCGAAACCGGGTCCGAAAACAATTCTGACTCTCGAGATTTCCAGGCCAATCTTTCCTTGTCATGAGTAAGTTTCTTTTTGTCCGATATTTAAATCTCTAGGGGTTACCCAGGGCTGTCTCACGGGAGCATCAAGATGAGCGAACCCAAACCGATATCAGTCCCACTCCCCAATTCAGAGCAGTTCTACCTGAATAGCAACCAGGGTGAAAGATATCTCATTCAAGTGTCTTGGCCGCTCCATTGGGAGAATGACAGCACTTCTGCTCGTGGTTCATTTCCTATCATGTAAGTGCCCGCTGACCCTTGCAGAAGAAAAGAAAAAGCGCGTGTTTACGAACTGATATTTAGATATATTGTTGATGGCAATGCTCTATTCTTGACTGCAACCGAGACCGCCTGGCGTCGCGCACCTGCGTCGCATTTCGCCGGTGGAGGCATCATTGTCGCTATTGGATACCCACTGAACAGAGAGCTTTACGATATGCGACGACGCACCCTTGATTTATCTCCGCCGGCGGGAACACAAATTCCTGGACATGGAGGCGCTGATATATTTCTTGATTTTATTCAAAGTTCAGTGCGACCCGCGGTCAAGGCCCGATTTCCACAGGTCGCTGTCTCCAGAGAAGCACTCTATGGTCATTCGTACGGGGGATTACTTGCGCTACACGCATTATTTACTCGCCCTGGTTCATTTGATTGTTACATGGCCAGCAGTCCCTCCATCTGGTGGAATAGTAAATTCATCTTGCAGGAAGCAAAGGCCTTTCTGAAAACGGAGCCTTTGGGCGAGAATTTGCCTTCGCTTATGGTCTTCTGGGGCTCAGTCGAGCAAAATCCTCATCAGTGGGATAATGAACCTCTGGAAAAATATGAATTGAGAAAGCAAATGGCGTCAGATTTTAGAATGGCCGACAATGCTCTCGACCTCTGTGAGATGCTACGGGGTTGCAAACAGTTGCATACCGTCCTGACGAATGAGTTCGATGGGGAGGAACACACAAGTGTGATGCCATGCTCGACAAATCGGAGCTTGACGATGTTCTTTGAAGATTGGCCTTTGCATTAGTTATAGAGCAATTTCATGGATTGACAACGAAACCGACGCATTGATGAAACGGTGATTGATAAGATAATGTTATTACGTATTGGCGGGAATATGTTCTCCGAACTAACACCGTTTGCCGCTTCGGGTAAAGTCAAAAAAAAGAAAAGAAAACGTTCCCATCTAGGGATTTTGGGGCCATCCAGAGTTGAGGGTCTGTCCACCGAAATACGGAAGCGATCGGGCTGGGCTTGAACTGGGCTCGGGGTCTGGATTTCGTCCCATTAAGCCTAAGGATGAAAAACCTAGCTTTTTGTCCATGTTCTTTCCATTTCTACTTTTGCAAATAATATGAAATCAAATTGGTCTTTGGCTTACACATAATGAACACTTTCAAGGGCTGTCAAGTGTGAGTACACACATACGTATCCCCTCGGCAGCCCCCAACTTAAACTACCCAAAGAGGCTAGCCCTCGGAGATTACCGCTCACCGCTAACCTTAACTAATCTAATCTGATCTCCATACCGATACGGTACGGGATATGCATTGGACGATTGGCTCGATAACCATTAAGTTAGAAAAACTTAATCCCACATGGGGCTTGAATAGATTTTAACACTTCATTTTGTGTTAAGCGCTATCCTCAACTTCAAAAGGTGCGGCTTGAGCATAGTCCTATGTATCTAGCTAGCAGCAAATCTTCAGTCTGGCTATTCTCAGTCGCATTCAAAATTATCTATGAACTCCCAATGGGCCCTTGGCCAAGGTTTTTTTGGCGTTGCCAATTCCAAAATTGGACTCTCCACGGATAAAATTTGCCTCGGCTGATTTGACTCCATGAAAAAATATGATGGAATTTATCACGCTTTGAATTCGCCGAAGTCTCAAAATCTTCCTTTATCATTGGATGTCCAGCTCAGACGATTTGGGATTTAGGCTTGGGGCCAAGATAACTTGATCCATTCGTCTTAAAGTCACTTGGCAAACGCATGACCAGCGCTTTGGTCATATTTGGGAAACCGCAAAATAAATCGGAATAATGGCACCAAAGTCCCCAATACCCTGTTTACTCTTCCCAGGCGGACAGAGTAGGAAAGGAATACATAACCTTAGAATAAATGACTGGATGTTCTAGGTGAGTATAGCCTTAGATAATATCCATGCTAACGTTACACGCTAGGCGTAGGTAATTATGGTAAGTTTTCTTGTGTGGGACAACCCTTTTTGGTATTCCGTCACCGGCAATTGATGGTCCGATTTTCTTCTTTATTTATTGCGTTCTAACGTAAAGACGTTAGAGCGTCTGACTCGGGATGTCATATTTAATGTCTAGCTCTTCCCTCGTTTTGAGTCGGTCGTCACGCACCCAAATTCCTCTGCCGCGAGGGAAAAATGGCGATCATGAGCAGATTCCATCGGATAGTTGGCAATAAGTCTGCAGAGACTGGGGCTACTTCAGTTGATGACCCAATCGCCCTGCAGGCGAGATCCGATGACAAAGAAGCCGGACATGCTCCCATCAATGATATGACTGGCAAGGAGGAAGCCAAGCCTACCGCAGATGCCCAAGCTGGTGTTCAGAAGATTGAGGCTGTCACCCTAGCCTGGGGGAAAGGATCGATGCTCATGGTTCTGATATTGTATGTGTCCCTGTCCTCGTTACATTATTTGATCCTAGTTGCTCACGTCCCCCTTTTCCAACAGTATCTGGCTACTCACACTCGTGAACAATCTCAAGACTTCGGTGGTCTACAGCTTAAGCGCTTATGCGACAAGCTCTTTCGCAGGTCATTCGCTTTTGACCGTTATTAATATTGTGGCATCTTCCATGACAGGCGCAGTGTATATCCCTATGGCGAAGGCGCTGGACCTCTGGGGCCGTGCGGAAGGTATCCTTCTAATGACTGGGTTCTGTATCCTGGGGATAGTCATGTTGGCTGCATCCCATAACCTAGCGACCTACTGCGCTGGACAGGTAAGAAGAGACTTAATACCCACGCCTTCATTCTTGTTAGGATCTGATGTCTCCATTCACGGCAGGTATTCTACTCGGTCGGATTCGGAGGTCTCGCGTACAGTTGGAATGTTCTCGCAACCGATGTGACAAACTTGAGAAACAGAGGGTTGGCATTTGCTTTTACCTCATCTCCGGCAATAATCTCAGCGTTCGCTGGATCTAAGGCTGCTGAAGGATTTCTCGCCAATGTCAATTGGCGATGGGGCTACGGAGTCTGGGCAATTATCTTACCGGCTTTCGCTTTGCCGATATACTTCATGCTGGCCTATAATTTACGCAGGGCTGAGAGGGAAGGGATTCTCGTCAGGGAAAGAAAGGCCTTGAGTTTCAATTTCGAAACAATCTGGTGGTTTATTAAAGAGTTTGATTGTGAGTTACCATATCGGCATTTTGCGGCAATCGTTGCAGGACGCTAATTCTTATGTCAACAAATAGTGATGGGTGTTTTTCTATTTGCTAGCGGCATGGTGGTATTCCTTCTGCCATTCACGCTAGCCAGTATGGCACCCCATGGTTGGCAAACCGGCTATATCATTGCCATGATTGTGATTGGGCTGGTCCTACTTATCTCATTTGGTTTATATGAGACATACCTGGCCCCGGTGCCATTCTTGAACTACAAGTTCCTCACCGACAGGACCGTTTTAGGAGCATGTCTCCTAGACATGACATACCAGATATCTTACTATTGTTATGCCGTCTATCTCCCGTCATTTCTGCAAGTGGTGTACAACTTGGATGTGGCGACAGCGGGATACGTTGGAAACACTTTCAGTGTCGTGGCATTTGTCTTTTTATTCTTCGCTGGCTGGCTCGTCCGAGTGACAGGTCGCTTCAAGTGGATTCTCTGGGTCTGCGTACCGCTCTACATCTTTGGACTTGGCCTGATGATTCACTTCCGTCAACCTGGTGGATACATTGGATATATTGTCATGTGTGAGGTCTTTTTCTCTGCTGCGGGCAGCGTTTTCATCCTGTGTGTGCAGCTTGCTGTCCTTGCTTCGGTCGATCACCAACACGTTGCCGCAGTGCTTGCCTTGCTTTTCGTGATGGGAAGTATCGGTGGATCTATTGGTAGTGCTATCTGTGGAGCTATTTGGACAAATACGTTCTTGAAAAAGCTTGCGGAAACCTTACCAGAGTCAGCCATGCCCAATTTGTCTCTCATTTACTCGAGCCTTCCCCAGCAGCTCAGTTATCCAGTTGGAAGCCCCGAGCGAGACGCCATTGTGGAAGCCTACGGCTATGCCCAACCAAGGATGCTTGCAGCTGGTACTGCATTCATGGTTTTGGGTTTCATCTGGGTGGGTATGATGAAAAACCTGAACGTCAAGAATATGACCCAAACAAAGGGTAATGTCTTTTAACGGGGAACGAGTATTACTCCAGACGAGTAAAAGGATTATCCATTCGACTGATATTATTGATGGGATCCAACTCTATGCTAGATGCCGAGGCTCCTTTTCAGTCTTTTTTTCTTGTATTTTAATAATATCCGAAACATCTGCAGCAGTGCGAAGGTGTAGGGGTCGGAAACTAATACTAGTGATATTGATGCCTGAATATGCCTGAATATTTGCCGGCAGAAAATATGAATACCTGAATTACCATAACAGAGCCCTTAAGTAACTAATGTAATTGAAATCTAGATTTGTGTAGTGGAAATAGCTTCAATATTACCTAGGTAATTACCCCTGAGTTTATTTACAATACGCTGGAAGAGCGGTGCGAAAAGGTGGTAAATAATCAGGCATCTTAGGACATCCTCAGGCAGCAATATTAGTAAGAATTGGTTTCCGACCCCTGGGATACACCTTCGCACTGCGATAGTTATTGCTGCTTCTAGACAATGTAAACAATTCAAATCAAATCCAAGGTTATTCAGTGTAACAGGCGCTTTATCGTCTCAGAACGAGTTCAAACGTCACTCGACTCATACCATGCATGCACCTATACCCATGCTAATAGTCAAGTCAGGTACCTGCCCTTGGTCTCCACAAAAGCCCCGGCCAATCTTTACCAGGTGCGAGAAAGCGATAAATCAACGAATTTCATTTGACAACTATACAATGATAAAAACATGAAACACCAGATAGAGGCCATTGTCCAGTTATGTGGATAATGGAGGAGAACTCATGCTTGTTAGATTTAGTGGCGGCTACTGGCTTCCCTTGAGAGAGGGGCATGGCGGTTAGACGCCCACTACTAGACCCCTTGGTCTAATAATATCACTTTGGCTTCCCGATCGCAGCGATATAGTACTTTCGATTCTACTTCCGCCACTATGGTGTGTTTCCCACATGTTGAACAATTCTTCCGTCGATAAATTTACCCTTCCCATCTCCAGTGTACATTGCCTTTGTGACCTGAAACACGCGATCGAATCGCCAACTCGCGGTCAAGTCTACTTATATGAATGAATTCAAAGTCGTTTCCGATTTAAGGAAGAGCAAAATGGGCTATGGGGGACTTGAACTCGTGTCCGATCTGCAGAGGTGGCCAAAAGGCTATGATGGACTTGAAGTCCGCGTTGAACAGGGAAAGGAAGTTCCAATAACCCGTGGCGGATTATGTCCTGTGTCCGTCCCAGAGATGCCGTGGCCTAGCATCCCTGATGATGGTCTAGTAAAGGCCGATGGTCCAAAAGATGCCAAAAGGATATGCGGGATGAGACCCATCGTGTTCTGGCCGTTGCTAGTAGTCGCGATCTTGATCGTGGTGATCGCTGCTGTGGGTGGTGGAATTGGAGGATCCTACTTGGCCAACAGAGGCAAGAGGTATGTCTCACTGTCTTTCTTGGGTACTAGTAGTCATCTAACACATGCCACAGCAGCTCTGACCCAACAACATCCGAGTCGACGACAGATTCGTCAATGCCTGTCACATCCAGCATATCTGACGCGGAGACTTCTACCGCAACTACGGCCTCCAAAACATCGTCAGCGGCCGTTACATCAGGCACATCAGGCATTGCTTCCAACCCATGCCCTGCTCAAAATCTCACCACGATCACTGGCTCCGATGAATCCATCTTTACACTACTATGCGCCGTTGACTGGCCGAGTGGTATAAAAACAGCATATGGCAATGGAAGGGTCGGAGACTTGACGAGATTCACTGAATATACCCTAAAGTCTTGCGTTTCACAATGTGTGAAATGGAATACGGAGAACGGCGAGAAGTGCAAGGGGGTCACCTACTCTGCAAATTTGACAGCTTCATATGATGGTGGGCAGGAGGGCAATTGCTTTTTGAAGAATAGTGTTGGTAGTTATTTTCCTAATTCGGGTACATCCATGGCTGCTGGGATATTAGGAGGTTGATATGATGTTGATGACATGTATAACAATGACATTTACCCATAGTTAGTAAGAGCCTTATTTACTATTATGGCTTCAATTCCATTTTATCCCTTAAAGATTTATAGAAACTGATGTCTAAAGGGAACCCAACCCCCTTTTGAACAAGTTATTCCACTCACTAAATTTCGGGTTTAGCTTGGGTCATGTTGATATATACATACAGCCTGATCTAGCTAGATATATTATTTTAAGACACATCCATTCAACAACCCTTAGGTTGTGCTGGCTGGGGAACTAATGTAATTTGCTCCCTTGCGAGCCTTAACCCCAGCTCTCCACCACTCCAGCCCAGAAACATCCTTGTCATTTTCGGTCGTGGTTTTGCCATAACCTTCCTTCTGCAAGAAAGGACTATCCAGTGCCTTCCACCGCAATTTGTCAGTCGGCCGCACAAAATACAACAAGCCTAATCGATCGAGGTGCATCTGATCCTTCGGTGGCGTTATAACCCGATGAATTCCACTTTTCAGATACCCATTTGTGAGGAACTGGAGCGTATCGGCGATATTAACAGCGACAGAGCCTGCAGGAATCCTTAGATATTCCCACTCTGCATCTTCGGCCTGTTTCACTTGTAGTCCTGCTATTGGTTGCTGAAATAGGAACGTCATAGTCCCCTTGTCCGTGTGTCCACGGAAGTAGATATCATCATACGTCTTGTTTTCTTCTTGGGAACGGGCATGGTATAGCATATAGCGGATAGAGCTATCGCATTCATCTTCGTAGCGGTTTCCATGCACGAACTGGTCTTCTGGTAGTTCGAGCATGGTGGCTAATATTCGGAGGAGCTTGAAGGACACGTTCTCATGCATGAAGCGGGAGAATCTCTCGATATCCATGGAGTTTGATGAGGTCTGGGTGTGATCGCTCGCTTTGGGGGATGAATTTGAAGATGCTGTAGAATTCCAGTGTGTCTCTCATCCCTGGTGAAAGACTTAGTGCTCCTAAAGGACGGTAGCCATTGTAGCTACCATCTTCTAAAGGAGCACGGTGTCTCAGTCGTTCTTCTTCGGGTAGTTCAAAAAATGCCTTTGCAATGGCAAACTGGAGATCAATCTCCTCCTGAGATAGACCAATATTGGTGATATAGAAGAAGCCTTTCTCTGTTAACATCTCTCTATTTGAGGGTCATGTGAGAAATACCAACTTGATGCACATACTGTTTGAATTTCTGTGCCAGTGTCTCTTTTCCTCCCGGACGATCATATTCAGAAAGGTCGATAGTAACAATATCCGCATATTTCACTGGTGAAGGTTAGTCTTCAAGTCGCATCATAAAACAATGAATCTCACTCACACGGACATTTTGTCTCGAGTGGATGCTCATATTTCGGTAAGTCCATATTAAAGCCGAGCTTGATTTGGGCCAAGCTATTTGAGACTTTATTTAGTTGAAATCATGAGATAGGTAGAAGAAATAACTCTCACTTTACAACTAAATCTTCAGGCAATGCAAGATCGCCACTTCATGGGGTTTCTCCATGGCAAAGTATATGATCAGTTCCACTCAGACGCTAAATAGTAGTATTGTCATCGTGTCAATATGTCGATATGATCCATATTACATGCATCCATGTGGATATGTTGTCCATCTTCGTATTCAGCTTCAACTTGGTTTCATAATTGGGAGAATCCGCAGAAGAGATCTCCAGGGATACACTGCGGGTTTCCACACCGCTATTCTGCTGAATATCTGATCTATTTGATGTTGATTGAGCCAATCAAGGCACCATCTACTCAGGAAATCCACCTTTGTGATTGTTGTACGGCCTACTCGGTGGGGTTCATCCCTCACTCCACGATCATGGTCTATGAAACATTTCAAGGCAATGTTTAGTCCATTTAGTACACGAACACAACCACTCTATAGCACTAGTCCCAAGTGCTGAGGCTACATCCATTGCTTTTATTATCATAAAGTAAGAAGAAATCCCAACCATAAGAAATGAAAAGAATCATCTGATGTACATAGGATTCATAAAAAGAAAAGGCCAGGTATCAACCCACAACAAGCAAAACCAGATATTGGAAAACTCCCTAAGTAAAGTCAAAGTAAAGTCAAAGTAACTGAAATCTAAGAGAATTGGAAGCAAAAAGTAATCGCATTCTGAGATGAGTTAAACCAAGAAGAGAGAGATATCCAGCCACCGACGAAACAACTCATAGCCTCTCTTTAAGAAGAACGGGGTCGTTGAGCTGAGGGAGCTTCCACGGGCTCCTGTAAAAACCAAGTCAGTTAGTGATTAAGCTTCTTGAAGATCTTTTTTTGACAAGGTATAGTACGAACCGAGCTAGCGCGACGCTTGCGTCCATTGCTTTCTTCAGCGCTGTCGTTGGCAGTCGCAGTCTCATTCTGAGCCTTGTGGACCTCGCCTCCCACGCAAATGTTGTTATTTCGGCCATTCACCCGAATCCCCGTGAGAGCGCGAACGTTGATGGGTCGGGGGTAACCCATGTCATCATGAAGGGCATTTGCGCGGTTCAGCGAAGCGATGATGACAGCCGCGATGGAGCTCAGGCGAGGAGATCCCTGGGCATCCTGGTGAGTTGGATCAGGCTGAGAGTCAGCCCCAGAAGACGACTTAATGACGGTGTTCTCATCACCAGTAACGGTGATTGAGCTGTCGATGTGAACATTGATTGGGGACGCCCAAGGGTCATCCATGTCATTCTGGTCGATATTCATGACGGTTGTGCCACTGGGTCTGATAACAGATAAAGTGTATGGAGGTGGGGCAGTGCCTGGGGTGGAAGTAGAGGTAGGTGTGGAAGTAGACATAGAAGAAGAAGTATTGCGATTAGCCCGGACTTCAGCGAGCTTATTTAGGTGGTGTCGCAAGGAGTCTGAGGGAGGCAACATTGTGAAGGTTATGTTAGTTTTTTTGAGGATTTGGTAATGATATGAACAGTCAGGAAGAGAAGTGCAGCAGGTTTCCCAGGTATTTAAGGTCAAGTGTTTGTTCATTTCGTTTGAATGGGCACAAACAATAGGAAGGAAGACAATCAATAGAGAATCAATAAACAGCCAATCAGAGGCTGTCAGGGACCATTGAGTTGCCTAATTGGGAACCGTCAATGGACGGTCTATTGTTCTCAATAGGGATCACGTGATTGCTATTGTTCATGGGGTATCAATAGAATAAAAGCTATGTAACAGGTACCTAAATCTTATAGTCACCACCATAGTTAAGAATGTACCTCTACATCTAGTACCATGGGTTTCACGCTAGTGTAGAAAATGCGCCTCCAATTCTCTTCCCAAAAAGCAAATCGGAACGCTGCGCCGGTCCACAAGCCCCTGACTGTGGAGCAATCCTTCGTAAAGTGCGTTTGTGTCACCGTAACCAAACGAACTGTATCCCAGATGATCGGATGTTCCTTCTTCGGTCGGTCTGGAATCTTTGCTGATGCCTACACCATCTGGAAAGTGGACACGTCTGGTCAGGTTATTGGCTGGCCTTTCATACGAGCAGGGCATCAGACCCTACCGACAGGATTGACAGGATTGTTTGGCTCCTTACTGCTAGACGGCATATCGGAACCAGGGAGGTTCGTGTGGGGTGGGCCCGGGTAGTATCGCCCACCTGGGTGAAGAGATTGCGCCGTCTGCAAATGGTTATTAGCGAGGACAACAGCCCTTGTAGATTGCCCGAGTTATACCGGTGCTTCTGTCGCGCCCGACATCCAAACCGTTACGGGTTGGTACTGACTTCGCGGAAATCATCTCCTGCAACTTCCACCTCACGATCTCGAATCCGGCGCATCAATGCCAGGAAATTACTTTGTTGGAATTTTTGGCTTTGCTCGTTTCGCACGCTGTCGAGCAGCTGCCCTGCTGTCCGCGCAAGTTCATCTGCATCCCGACTCTGTGTTTCTGGATCCTGCTTTTCGCTTTGAGGGATAAGATCCGATCCGAGTCGAATCTGCTCTTCGGCGACTGGTTCGGTAATATCGACTCCGTTAGTCTCCTGCAAGTGCTTCTGGGTATCTTGCTGAGCAACATCGACTGCTTGCAACTCCATATCCGCCCGTGCCTGATCAAAGGCAGCTTCAAAGGCAGATTCATCAAACTCCTGCGCGTGCTGTTGTTGCTCGGTTTGCATAACCTGCGGTGCCTGCATCTGATTCATGGAGGAGCCATACATCTGGTAGCCTGGTGCAAAGGATGGTTGATAGGCACCATGCATTTGCGGGATTTGCTGGGCCTGAGACATAGGCCCTCGCTGTTGAGTCATGAATTCAGTGTGCCATCCACCATTTGCCGTGGCTGGTGCCATATTTGGTCTTTGTAGTTGCGCTACTGGATGTGAGGGCCCCGATATCTGTAAGTTCTGGAAGTCCCCCGCCCAACCGGCGTTGTCTGCACCGTGTGCAGCTGGGTGGTGTAGTGCGGCATGATGTGATGGTGCTCCAAAATTGGCGGGATGTTGCAAGTTGGGCAATGTAGGGCCGGCGAGGTTGCCTTCGAATGCGGCGAACTCCGGGTCGAGTATTCCTTCTTGGGGGGTTCTGGGATCGGAAGCCCTGCAGTATGCGTTTAGTATGAAATGAAATTATGTGATCCCAAAGGTACTACCAACCTGAACAGGCGATTGACGCGAAGTCAACCGGTCTTGTTGAAGGGTCCGATCAACAGATGTATGCTTCTGGAAGTTCTGAAGGGCGTTTGACGGCCCGCATAGCGCATCACCCATAATGACCTGCTCAGATCGAGCAAAACGGAACGAGAAATGTAATAGTGTAGTTTTTGTCTTCGGATTCCTTTGTAGTCAGTTGCCCAGCACAAATTACAGAGCAATAATAGCAATGAAAGGTGTTGAACTTCAGAAGAAACTCCCACGCCACGTTCATCGTGGGGTTACCGACGGCCGAGGCTCATCACGTGCATAGATCCAGGTAACGTGACCCAGCTAGGCACACGATAAGATACGGAAGGGCCAGGTTGTTTGGCTGAAAGGGAGAGAGCTACTCCGACTCCCCGCGCTTCCACAGCTGTCAAGTTTATTGTTTGCTCTATTCAATTCAACATGGTAATTTCTATTCCACCATGCGGCTTTGAGATTGTTTCACAATCCCGTCACTAACGGCTTCAAACCTCCAGGCGACCCCTCAGGTGATCTCAAATTCCGGACACGAAGAGATGATTGTATGTGCTACTATACGAACTGCAATTGGTGGTCTATATGGCCACACGATGTACTCAAGCTAACTGCTTTATGTGGAATATAGCATGATGCTGGCTTGGACTATTACGGCCGCCGGTTGGCCACATGTTCGTCCGACAAAACGATAAAGATCTTTGAGATTGAGGGAGAATCACACCGACTAGTCGAGACGCTGAAGGGGTAAGCTGGTCTTTTTGATGTGTGTATCTGAGTGATGGACACTGACATGGGTATTTGATAGCCACGAGGGCGCTGTGTGGTGTGTCGCATGGGTGAGTGATACCATAAAACATCAGCCTTGCAGCGCGCACCACTAACCATGTGATTATCGCAACCTAGGCCCACCCGAAATTTGGCACAATTCTGGCCTCATCTTCCTACGATGGCAAAGTTCTGATCTGGCGGGAACAGCCCCAGAATGCGACCTCGCCCTCCGGTGGTAGCACGTGGACCAAGGTCTTCGATTTCTCTCTTCACACGGCCTCCGTGAACATGGTCTCATGGGCTCCTCATGAGAGTGGATGTGTTCTTGCGTGTGCTTCTTCCGACGGCCATGTCAGCGCGCTCGAGTTCCGCGACAACAACTGGACCCACCAGAGCTTCCATGCCCACGGAATGGGTGTCAACTCCATCAGCTGGGCCCCTGCGGCCTTTGCTGGAAGCCTCATCAGCTCCAACCCCGGACCTGGCCAACAACGCCGGTTTGTTACCGGTGGCAGCGACAACCTGGTCAAGATCTGGGAGTACAAGTATGTTGATTGATGGACCTTGCCCAATATACAGCTATGACGTGAACTGACTCAATTCTCCTTAGCGCGGAGTCCAAATCGTACAACCTCACCCAAACCCTTGAGGGACACTCAGACTGGGTCCGTGATGTGGCATGGTCCCCAAGCATTCTTTCCAAGTCCTACATCGCCTCCGCCGCGCAAGACAAGACTGTTCGCATTTGGACCTCTGATGCTTCCAACCCGGGCCAGTGGTCCAGCCAAACATTGGAGTTCGACACTGTTCTATGGCGTGTTAGCTGGAGTCTCAGCGGCAACATCCTTGCCGTCAGCGGTGGTGATAACAAGGTCAGTTTGTGGAAGGAGAACCTCAAGGGGGAGTGGGAGAAGGTCAAGGATATCGAGGAGTAGTGGCTGTTTTAATTTCTATGTGTCATCTATTCCCTTCCTCAACGCATATTTCTTTTTTTTTCTATGCAAAAGCTACCTTGCTTGTTACCATAAATCCTGATTCATTCCACTGCGAGAATCCTTCGTTAATTTCCAGCACTTTGGGCGAGCCTGCTCTATTTCATCCCCTCATCCACCGCTCAGCTCCCAATAAAGAAAGAAAATAAAAAGATCAAAGAAAGGCAAACGAGAAGGGCATAGAAGACGCCGGGTGTGGCCCTCACACATCCCAGAAGATAAATGGGCCCCTGGCATCTGTTGCCTTCATATCCAACCAGCGTCCCAGCATCATGCGCCCACCAGGGATGATAACAGCCTCATAGCCATGGATCCACCCCTCGTCCTCCATCAGGAGAGAGGGAGTCTTTTCCTCATCGTCCTCATCATCCTCATAATCCTCGTCATCCTCAATCCCTTCGACGATGACAAAACAGATCCGCATCCATCCCCCAAAGCCACCATGTTGACCAGCAATCTCTTCGGTAAACCCAAACACAGGGTTTCCTACCACATCAGGGCTGCTATAGGGTCTCTGCTTGCCCTCAAAATATGTTCGCTTGGTATCGGGACCACCGGCGAGGGGGATGATCTTCTTGCATTGCCGGGGCCAGAGATGTTCGGAGGGTTTCAGGTCAAGGGCCTGACATTTGTTAACTCGGCGGCCATAGCCTCCCAAAAAACTCGTCTTCCACTTACCATTGGGTCGATTATATCGCCGTGTATCTCGATATCAGCGCATGTCTGGCGGTCGCCGTTCCTCAGCAGGTCTGCCACAGGATGAATGCACGCTAATCGGAAAGTCATGTCAGCTTGGGGTAACGCGCGATTTGGATTCCGTTGGTATACTCACAGTAGTATCCTAGCCACGATGAGCTTAATTTGGATGCTTCGGTTGGGATCTCCTTTCGCAATTTGGGCTTCACATCTTCAGGGAGCTCAGAGAAGGACTCTTGGAAGGACAGCTCGACAGGGTGCAAGACGTGACGCTGCCAGAAATGGCGAATTTCCAGCAGTCTGTCGAGGTCAATGTTCTCGTGATCGATGAATGGCTCACCCACCTTGTCTCCGTATGAGTAAACAGCTCGCAGGTTGTAGTCGGTTCGACGACACGGTAGGGTGAGGTCTGACTTGAGAGCGAATGAGCTTAGGCACTGTGTATGGCAAATATCAGTGATTGTCCCATCCTTTATTCGACGACAACGTGCGTACCAGCTGGAGACCACAAAAGAGTGGCGAGGGAGTTTGGTGGTTCTGAAATTCGCATAGGAAATTCACCCTTTGGAGGGTCTCATGTATCCGTTGCAAGGTCTGTGAGGTGTCTCCAGGAGCGGTGGATAGTGTCAGAGCCTCTTCGAACATAGTTTGCATGACCTCCATCCAGAGGTATTGCCGTTCATCTTCCTTCTCTTTGAATTGGATCGGAGCCCTCAGCACAAGCCCGCGGATCTGGTATTCGATCTTCAACTCCTTAGAAGTTCTTCCCGGTGGAATGTCGTATTGTTTACCAAAGTGATCTCTCCAGATGGCGGACTCCGATCCGAAGACCTTGTTCCACATCTCTTTGCAGGATTGGGAGAGATGGAGAAGATCACAATCTCTGGAGAGGTAGGATGTAATATTCTGGAGAGTCTGTTCATGTCAAATATCAATGGCTGCACTCTACGTTGTAGGAGACAGTCATATACTTACCTCGTTCGGAAGCTCAAGCAGTCGGCTTCGAGGACTTTGCATGGCAGTTGAAGCCAACTGCTCAGGGTTGCTGTGCGACATGATTCGGTATGCAAAAGGCAAATTCGAAAGAGCGAGATAAAGTGTGAAACGTGTATGGTTTGATGCAAGATGCAAATGCAAAATGCAAATGCGAAACGAAAATGCGAAATGTAAATGTGAAATGCGAACGGAAGATGCGAGATAGAGTATATCAGATAGAAGATGTCGGACGGAGTATGTAAGAGAGAATATGTGATAGAAGATATGTAATAGAGTATGCCAGAGAGAATATGTCTGACGGAGTATGCAAGAGGGAAGACCTCGGGATGTGTGACAGAGTATGTAAGAGGAAAGATGAGAGAAGGTGCGTGGTGGAGGATGTAAGAGGAAAGATGAGAGAAGATGCGAGAGCAGAATTTATGAAACCCAAACATCCAACGCGCGGGATAAGGACGTATAAAACACAAATTCATTCACAAGTCTTCAAAATGAGTAAATATCCAATATATGATACCATTCTTGATTCATTTTATACCCAGTTAGGGCTGATATTCGAGTCTATATGACCAAATTGAGAGAAATTTACTTGACATAGCCAATGACACCCACCTCACATGTGGCAATAGAACGAAGGGCAACAGGAACACGTGCCCTGAGATTTCCCACATGTTAAAGATGCCGCGAGAGACGACGCCGCTGGAGACTTTCTCTCACTCCCCAACCGTCTGCCAATAGACCCTTCACTTCCTCGAGCCCAAGTCCACTCATCTCAGGGTATATTGCCCATACAGCAACCCACCCAACCACACAGACGAGTGCATAGAGAGCAAATGTCCATGACGGTGAGATCCATTCCATCATAGGCAAGAAAGTGAGACCGATGATAAAGTTTGATCCCCAGTTGGTTGCAGTGGCCAGTCCTGACCCCAGAGAACGTACGTTCAGAGGGAAGAGTTCAGACTGCTGCCATGGGACATTGCCAAGTCCGAGGGCATATGCTGCGGTATAGACAGTGAGACAGAGCAAGATGGCAAGAGGTAGAAGAGAACTAGCGCTCTCATCATTTTCTTGACGGCCAGTTGGAGGTTGTGAATTCCATTTGTCATCCATTGATGAAAACGAGAAAGCACAGACGACCAGGGCAACGACCATGATTGGAATTGAATAAAGAAGAACACGCCGGCGACCGATCCTGTCAATCAGCACGAATGCAAACAACGTGAAGACGAAGTTCGTCATAGCTACCGAGAGTGATGTTAGTGTTGGCGAGGAGAACGAAAGTGAGGAGAAAATGGTTGCCGAAAAATACATCAGGCTGTTAAATCCGCAAAGTTGCTGGACCGCCTGGAGCATCATCGCTATGATCAATGCTCTTCTGTTTCCACCATGGAACAACTGCTGACCCCGCTGGAGGGTATCATGTAACCACTGGGGCTTTGTGCCACGGGACTTGGTTTGTCCCAGCTCCGAGGCCTCCTGAACGATTTCTCCGCTGATATTGCGCAAGACACGATCAACCACCTGGTCACAGCCAGGGCAATCCTGATAGATCTTAGTCAGGACTGTCTTTGCTCGGGCATCGAATCCAGCCTGGACCAGCCATCGAGGCGTCTCAGGTAGCAGGGCGAGAATGGCAAGCTGAAAGAAGGCCGGGAATGCCCCGATCCCCACTATCCACCGCCAGCCTCCAGTTGTAGTGGAAAACAACCACCCGACTATGTATGCCACCACTTGGCCACCGGTAATGAAGAGACTAAGGATCGTGACAAGTCTTCCTCTTGCGTGCGAAGGAGCCAACTCGGAGATATACCTAGAAAGTTTTCCCGGCATGTTAGCAATCATCAGCTCTCTCTCAGTCAAGCTTTTGCCATGGCGAAGGGTCCTTAGTCCCCGCTTGACACGACAACACGTCACGGACAACCTACAATGGGGTCACTGCACTAGCGCTACCAACGGCAAGACCAACAATGCTGCGGCCAATAATCATACCCCAAACCTGGCTTGTAAAGGCCTGTACCAATGCTCCAACTGCAAACAACAGATCTGCACCAAGTATGACCTTCCGACGACCGAACTTGTCTGCCAGCACTCCGGTAAATGGACTCGCGATCAACGCAAACAGGCTGGTGCAGGATGTGATGAGGCTTTTATCGAGTGTGGTCAATGGCCGGCCCGAAAGATCTGACCCGACAGTCACCAAAGTAGACGAGATAACACCTGTGCTGGAAGTTCCGGGAACTGTTAGTGAACGGAGGGATCGATGGAGCAATGGCGTGTTTGGTAGGAGCTAACATACTCATATCCAAATAGTAGACCGCTTATCCCAGCGGAGAAGGTCAATGCCCATATAAACCAGCCTCCTGAGTATTCCAGCTCAGAGGCCAGGCTCTCATCGTGGGTATTGTCATCATGGTCGGAAGAGGCGTGAGATAAGGCGAGCAAAGGGGCGTGGGGACCTGATTGATCTTGTTCATCTGCGCCCGTCATGTCTTCGGGCTCTTCCAGCTATACCCCTGGGGTATCATCTGAAATTGTCCTTTGGGGTATCTGAGATGGTAAAGTGCCTAGCTGACGTCCGGGGTTAATTGCGATAAGCCGATAAGGAGACCCGCTCAAAGCCCGGAGCGGAACTCAGGTTCCGCATGCCGATGTGGTTCAGTATGTTGTAAACAATAGTTAACTAATGAAAAGCAAAGAAAGGTAATGAAGAGCAAAGAGAAGGAAGGAAGATATAGGACTGGGGAATTATGACCTTGCTGGGAATGGCATCTTTATATATGCACTGAAGTCGAATGAAGCCCTAACATATCTGGCAGAGCAAAGACTGGGCTGCAGAATACTCGAGGAACAATAATGTGGTCATAATGTAGATTCATGCGGGATATTCATAGTTTTTACGGCATTAATCTGTACATAGATAGCCCCTCTACCCTAGTGCTTAGTCACAACACCAGCAGCATCAGCCTGCGCGGTGATCTTCTTCTTGTAGGCGTTGACGGTGCCGTCGAACTTGTGAACAGTACCGCCGTCGCAAACCCAGAGACTGGTGCAGACATTCTGCAACATGGTCACGTCGTGGGATACCATCACCACACCTCCCTCAAACACGCGGAGTGCATCCGACAGGGCATCCATACCCTCAATATCCAAGTGATTGGAAGGTTCGTCAAGAACAAGGATGTGAGGATTGGTCAAGGACAAGCAAGCAAATGCAACACGAGATTTCTGACCTCCAGACAGCAGTTCCATGCGTTGGAGACCAGTTGTACCAGTGATACCGAAGCTATATGAGGGTTAGTCAATGCAGTAGATACAAGTGGTTCGAATAAACTTACGCTCCCAGGTGTCGTCGGTACTCCTCGTCGGTTTTACCGGGGTATGTCTTGGTCATAAATCCGACTGCACTAGTAGTCATGTCCAAAGCATCGACGTGATGTTGGGCGAAGAATCCAATACGCAGTCTCGAGTTCGTGGAGATGAGACCGCTTGTTGGCTCAAGCTGGTTGGTGAGTAGTTTCAGAACTGTGGTCTTACCAGCACCGTTAGGTCCGACAATTCCAATACGCGAATCAAGTTGAACATCCAGGTCGACATCCTTGAGAAGAGGCTTATCCTTGGTGTAGCCGAAGCAAACATCGGACATCTGGACGATGGGTGGTGAAAGTTTCTCGACTCCGGGGAATGCAAAGTGCACGGTGTACTCGGCCTCTGGAGCTTCGAGAACTGGCATGCGCTCAAGCTTCTTGATTCTCGATTGTGCCTCAGAGGACTTGGCGGCGTTGTATCGGAACTTATCAATGAATGCTAAGGATGATCGTTAACACAGCCTCTATGATAAGGTGCATGGGGTGACAAACCTTGCAAGTGTGCTCTCTCGCCCATTTGCTTCTCGTATTCGCGCTTAGCAGTCTTGCGGCGCTCCTCCTTGGTGGCATAGAAGGATTCTATGGTTTGTTAGAACTATTCATAACCTTGGAATCCCGTTTAACTTACCAAAGTTAGCACCTCTGTAGTAGTCCAACCTCTCGGAGTGCTGGTGGATAATATCCGTGGCGACTTCGTTCAAGAATGCACGATCGTGAGAAACAACAAGGACTGTGCTGGGGTATCCCTGGAGGTAATTGGAAAGGAAAGTAATTGACGGAACATCCAACATGTTAGACGGTTCTGTGAAATGTCAGTGGGCTGATTGGTAGAATAAGGAGACCAGTGGTACATACCGTCAAGCAAAAGCAGATCGGGCTCGCAGAACAGAGCTCGTGCAAGAGACAAACGCATTCTCCAACCTCCGGAGAAAGTCTTGGTAGGGTACTGCTGGCGTTCTTGGGAGAAACCAAGACCAGCCAAGATACTGGCCGCACGAGATTCGGCCTTATCAGACTCCATTTCTGAAAGCTTTCCATAAATATCACTCAACGTGATGTCCAGACCCTCTCGCTCTTCGTCGAGTCTAGCAGCATCCTTCGAAGTATCCGCCAATGAAGATCTTTCTTCTTCAAGAGCCGCCAGTTGTTTCGAGATTTTCTATGGTTGTTAGTGAATATTCTGCTGTGGTATCTTCGGATTCGACTAACCGCTTGTTCCGCAAGAAGATGTTTCCGCCACACATCAGCATCCAACACTGCTTGCAAAGCTGGTGTATCGTCACCAGTAATCTAGGGTAAAAAATCAGTAAGAGAAAAAAAGCAACCGATCTGAGATTTGAACATACCTCTTGCTCAACGTGAAGAATAGAAACGTGAGTCGGAATCGGGATTTCTCTGCGACTCAAAGCACGCAAAAGTGTAGATTTACCGATACCGTTCTGACCGACAAGACCGTAACGACGACCATAAGCGAGTGTGAAGGCAGCATCTGTAAGAATGCGCAGTCCACTAATCGAGATATCGATGTTATCCAACTTAATGTCCTTACTCTTGGCCTGGGAGTCCGAGCCCAATTGAAGAGGGTTGACAGCCATGAAGAACTCTTCGTAGGACATGGCCTCATCCGGCTGGTTGAGCAGACGGGACGCCTCGTAGGTAACGTTCTTCATGGACTTCTTGTCCTGCTTGGCGCGAATCTTGCGCTCGGCCTTCTCAAGCTTCTTCTTGTCAACCTTGGACTCCATCTTTCTGGCATTGGCAGATTCCAGGTCGACAGTGTTTCCAGTGAGACCCAGTGTAGAGGACATGTTCCGCTGTGCGCCGACATTGATGGTCTGTTCAAGCTTCTTCGCCTTGAAGGGCATTTGTCTCCGCTCCGGATCGCCATCGGAAGAGCTCAGCGTGGTGATGAACCTCGTAACCAAGTTGCCGATCGCTTCGTAGTTTTGCGGGGAGAAATCTCCAGAAGCGGAGACTAGGAGCTCGGTCACGGAGTCGGCAGCCTCTGACAAGGGGGACTCGCCACTGGCATCGTCGACGTAGAGGTTTGCAGCATGGGTCAGGTAGCCCTGTCAAATAGTCAGCTTCAACGCACTCACAATCCAATCCTCCACCGCGCATATGTGCGGAGAGACATACCACTGAGTATTCGGTGATGATCTGGTCGAGGCCAGGGATCTGGGATTGGAGTTCAGACTCCATCTTGCCAAGCTCGAGAGAACCTGCGTCACGCCGAGATTCAGGAAACTTCGACGTCAAAAGTTTGTGGAATCCTGGAATTGATGTCCCCATCGTGAATAGTGGCGGATTTTTGGATGTGTGTTATCGATAAGGTCACGTGAACGATTGTTTATCTGAATTCTGCTTTTTAGGATATTGCGACGGACGTTGAATCTCAGCTAGTAGATTCTCTTCCTACGCTCTAAGGACTCCGCTCTAAGGACTCCGGTGAAAAGGGAAGGTGGCTTGGTGGTTTTCCTTTCCGACATCTTTGTTTGCGGCTACTATATTGTATACCAAAATATAAGCGATCTTCTTATAGAACTTCAACATGGAACTAGTTATACAGTCTAGTCATAGCTTTGCTGTAAAGTAAGTTACATGCAAATGAGCTGCTGACAACTGCAAGTTAAATACTCTTTGGAAATTGATACTCAGTGAAGTTAGCTGTGTATCGGCAATCTCTGCCTGAAGTCGTTGAAGACGAGACATCTACTCTATATCAAGATTAGTCACAAATTCTCGAGTAAATCCTTTGGGATCTATCTATCCATTATTCAAATACTGAAATTTTGAATTGGAGCCATTGTAAAAGAGTGGTTGCCGAGGTGAATTGACCTCGCTTCAGCAGGTTCCCAGGCGACTAGTTGAGCACAGATAGTCAACTTTTGAATCACATGGTTGGCGTTTGTGATAGTTATACTTGCCTGCGGGAAACAAGCATCAGATCACCCGAATGTCACACAGCCCCAGTCTTTGGCAAGTCCATAAGTGGTGGACAAAGTACAGAGTAAACATACTAGTGCAATGATCGACTTCAGCTCCGGCTGTCTCCCCGGTCATGGGTAAACAATACGAGGTATTGCGACGAGCATAAGCAAGACCTAGTTAGATCTGATCGTCTCGTCCGAAGATGTTTCGGCTACTCCGTGCAGCTAATTGTGACGAACATAGACGGTGAGGTGAAAGAGGTGGCCTGCCCAGTACACCAAATTGTACGAATGTAGACGGTGAGGTGAACGAGGTGGCCTACCCAGTACACCAGAGTCTGCATCAACAACTGGACTCTAATGAAATCGCCTAAATTAGATGGGTTGGGTTCTGTAGGCTGCAGGGTGTTTCATAAGCAGTTTCATGTTCGGAGAAGTTGCATTTGGCCAGCAATCAGTAAAATAAGATCCGAAAAGTGAGCATATAAATGTATACTGATTAATTATGGAGTTATGAACTGCCAATGAAGTTATACAAGTTTGGAAGCTGTTAGTTAGCTGGAAACTGGAAGCTGTTCAAAATGTAATTTCCACAATCATCACCAAAAGTCGGAAATTGCAAAGCACGGACTTTGCAGAATCTGCCGAGAGTCAACAGGCCGAGAAGTTCTAGGGCCAAAGTGATTCTTTTTTTTTTTTCGGAGCCAAGAAGGGACCAGAAGATCTCCAGGTTATCAAATAGTGCAAGGAATACGGAGTATCTTGTTCCTGTCTGCAGGTTACTGCAGCCAATACCGATATAACGGGTGATGGCAGGTGAGAAACATATACGGAATACAAATTAAAGTATTGGTTCATAGTTGCCTATCACATATGAACAGTTGACACAGGACACGTATGTTGTATACGATCAAGGAACCTCTCTACCTACAACAGTATACATAGTTAGTTATAACATACGACATAAGAAGTTCCATATATTGACCTTCCCAACTGAATGATTGGATATGTCGATCGCTATAACTTTTGGGTCTTATGTAGGGATCGGCCTAACTGACTTTTTAGGTAAAAAGAATTAAACAAAAAATACCAAAAGAATAAAAAAGAATTAAAAAAAGAGCTTGAAACACGAGGTACTTCTTCCCCCACTCTTTTATACAACTATCGACGGTTAACTGCCAGCAAAAGCAAG